CTTGCGGCCCGGCTCCTCTCGAGGCCCGCGGCGGCGACACGGCGCGCTGGCGACGACAACCGGGTAGGAGAGACGAGCGATGCTTTGGATCTTTCGGTGGTGGTGGCGGCGACGGCGACAGCGCTGGGACCTTACGACCCATCCTTGCCACCTGGAACAAGTCTCTCGTCGGGACGTGTCTGCTTTGGGGCCCGCCGGCCCTGCAGGTGCACTCTGTCGACCGAGTCGCATGCACGATTGTCGTGTTTTCTCGTTAGAGGACCGACCGGTGGGTACACATGCTTCACGTGGGATTTCAGTGACGGCGGGTGCGGGATTTTCGTCTTCTTTCGTTAGTCGGTTTGCATGCTGGGAGCTATGGGAGCTGGGGTTAATAGTGTGCAGGTCTGAAGTCTTGCCAGTGTTCTGGCTAGAGTCTGTTCTTGTTAAATACTGATACAAGTTAGACGCTGTTGATCGGAACAGACGGAGTTTCGAATTTTAACGCTAGAACTAGCGAGCTCTTTTTGAAATTGTACTGTAACCTCGACAGAATTATTGAGACGACAGTTGGTTTGCAATTCAGTTTGTGTACTGTTGAACTAGTTTCTCTAGTACTTTTCAGAGAAGCCGTTACCTGAACTGGAAAAAGTGACATTAGGAATGGGTCACTTTGACCGATCGGGTAGTTCTAGCGTTGAAAGATTCCAAGTTGATCTAGGACTCGACAACTTTGCAAAGTTGGACCAAGTTTGAGCTGACTTCAGAGCCGCACACATGTAGCCCTCGTTTTGAAGACACCGTGAGACACAGGGAGCAGGAAGAGGGTGTAGTCTTTGGTTTACTTCTAATCCTTTCCCTGTCACGATTCTACCGTCTATATTTCAAACGTGGTCCTACCTCGGGGCGTTCCGCTTCCAGCAGACTCGTCGACCTCCTTTTTCGACTTAACCCGGAAACCGGCGACTCGAATTAGCCGATGGGAGACGCGAAGTCAGACGAAACATTCGGAACGCCGGGTTTAAACGGACTCGGGCGATGCCGTTCGAGGGTTAATGGCTGTGTCTACCGTTTCCGGGCGCATCCAGTGGCCCGGGACCTGACAATAAACGGCCGCAACTACTTTGCCTCTAATTCTATCGGGTCGCGGACAGTTACCGCGACAATATCGGAACTTCGACGAACGTCCCGCAAGTTCGGCAGACGCGCCGCAATTTACGGAGCTGGCTTACCGGACTTCGCGAATTAACAAGACATCGTCCCGGCTGTTCATACGTCGAACAGCTGCCTCGATCGACTGCGAATTTTCCCGGTGAACCGATAAACGCCCGAAGGGCAACTCACAACATCCTCTGTACCACGAACCATAGAAACTCGAATTTATCGCGGAACACTTGGCAACGGTGCAAGCTAAATTACAAATTACAGAGAAAGGAACTTCTACTCGATCCTTCGCGTCGCGAGAATCACACGAATTTGCATAAGTATTTATGCATAAGTATTTGCGTAAGTCTTAGCTCGTCAAGGGCACTCTCTTCGATAAAAACTCGACGGAAACAGGTTACGGGCCTCCACGTTCGACCTCGCGGGGAAAGGATCAGATTCAGTCGGTTAACACATAGATTAGCATTAACAACAATTATCTGGCACCAGAACCCCGGCTCGGCTTAGTTTATCTCTCATCGATTCAGCTGTCTACAGATTCTTTTCACTTTACATCGCTACCGAGTCGTGTTTCCTCGTCCGATCGGTTAGTCGCTCTTCACCGAGGCGAATCGTTAATTCGAAGTAACAGCGTCCGGGGTTTCGGTGTTAACAAGGTACGCATCCACGGTCGACAAAGTGTTCCACACTGATTGTGAGCGTGCAGGACAACACGCGAAGCCGTGTCTGTTATTGAAGTTAGCCGTGGCGTCGACGGAGGGTTAGCCTGCGCGGCGTGTGCATGTTAGTCGGCGACACACGCTGTTTCAGCAGTGGGTTCTCGATACACGATCACTCGTGGAAACTTTTCCCTGGTCGCTGCTCGAGCCTCTGATTCAATTGCAATCTAATCTCTTCGATCCGGCTCGAAACATTCGTTTCCGAATTCGTTCTCGACTGTCCGGCGAACGATTCCCCTCGGAATTCCTCAGTCGAGAGGACCGTTCGCCGGTCGTGAGTCGCGGGGCCAAAGATCCTGATCCGTGAGTCGGTAGCGTTCTTTTTTCTAGATTCGCGTACGATGCCGTTCGGCGCGTGGCAAGTTCTTAACAGAATCGTATTATTAAATGCTTTAAGATACCGATAAGCACCAGGAGAATCTCTTACAAAAGTAACGAATCTATCGAAAGTTCACGGTATCCTCTATCAATCTCCAGATATTCGATAGAACGGAATTAAGAAGATTTCAAAACAGTTTCAGATCGATCCAATATACATTAACGCTAGAACTAAACCGGTTGAAACGAGCAGTTGCTAAATTCTTCCTCGATTATAGAAAAGGTAAAAGTTCTTCGAGGAATCACCGAAGGAACACTCAGCTGATCAGACTGGAGTGAAAATCGATTTGACTTTCCATTAGTAGTTCCAGCGTTGAACGCGAATTTAACGGCATCGTATTCGAATGTTATGTCAGAGAGAAGAATGAACGCTCCAGATTTTCGATGCAACCCAATATTGTTAGAAGAGGAAGGGAAAAGAGAGAGAGAGAGAGATAGAGAGATAGAGTAAGATCGAGAGCGGAGAGTGATATCTCCCTCGGTCAGGATCGTCCACGTGGGCGTGATGTGTACCTTGATTGGACGAGTGTGAGGCTCACGATTGCGGTTGCGGTGTGTTGTGGTCCCGCTTGTCTCCCGCAGGAGCCGACGGCTTTATCACGGGTTTCTCCTCGTTTACTGGCGTGGGCGGAGCGTCCTTTCTTGGCGGCATCCTCTCGTTTATGGCGTCGAGACCCTTCGCCTCGGCGAACGAGGTGATTTTGTGGTTCGGCGAGAAGCCTTGGAGAGCTGGGAAACAACGGGCACCGATCGTCACCATTTTCATAGAACGCCCGCGCGAAAACTCTTCGACGGGAATCGAACATTTTCCGGATCGAATTTTCTCGGAATTTTTCGGTAAAGAAGCCTTCCGTCGCGGGATCTTATTTCGCTGCGACTTTACGCGGCTCGTTTTAGTATTCTGTGATATTTGTATGGGACTCGTATATCCTGTAAGATCTGTAATATTCGGAGGAGCTAGTAGAATTAATTAGAATTAATGATTTCTGTTACGTTGAATTCCTTTGAATGGTTTGTAGACGTTAACGAGGAATGTTCGATAGAGATTGTACTTTAGCGTGTAGAAAAATGGAAGCACTGTAGAGAACCTGTGAATTTGATGGGTATTGGATTTTTTAAGTATTATTTTAATGGATCAAGTCGATGTTGGTTCGTGCAGTTGTGCGAATATGTATTGGAATACTTAAAGTTTGAAGATAGAATTTTCGCGATTTATACAGACGAGCACGTAGTTTTCTAGGAACAGTAGAAACGTCTGTAAATAGGGTTAATTTGCATAGAGATCGTCGATTAGTCATCCGAGAGTTCTTTAAATAATGAATTCCTTCGCAGCGAGGTTTACCGTTTTTTAGGGACGTCTTGCCACCAGACAACGCGCCAAGCGGCAAAGCTCCAGTCGGTGTCAGTCCCTTCAGCTGTAAAACGCTCTCGCTTTCTTCTCTGAAACAGTTGAATGCACAAATGAGCGTCGAAGATTACAAACTTAATCGATTCGATGTAGCGTAGCAATTGAATAAACTGTTACGTCACGCAATGAACATTGTAATTCAAAGTATCAACCTATTTCTAGACTACCATTCGTTAGAAGTTCCAGTGATAAAATACTCGATTAACCGATAAAGAAGACATCCGGCCTCACCTCAAGACAGAGAAGACACGCGCCATCTTTCCAATAGCTCTGATCTTGTTTCTGATCACCTCCTTGCGTAGATTGGCTGCTGCACCTAGAAAACGGAGCGCATCGGGTTAGAACGATCCGCGTCGCCTCGACATCCCATCCGATATTCTTTGTGATCGACGAAGTCGCGAAGGTGGACCGAAAATTCCACGTAGCTCCTCTACGAATGCTCTCCGCTGTTAATATCTCTAGCGAATCTACGTCGATCTAATCGCGTTTAGAACGTCCTCTTCGAAAAAACCGTTGAACGCGAGATCGATTCGAATAACATTCGACAGACGGACGAGCAGATTAATGTATAATTCATAAGAGACTCACAGCGAAATACGTTAAAAACGCGCGGCGACCTTCGCGACATCGCGATCACGGGGATCCCCTCCGCGATCTCGATCGCCGGAGGCATCCGATCTCCGCCGAGAACTACGTTATTCATACCACAGCTTAACCGGTGATCACATGTTGTTAAGAAGGTAAGTGAAATTAGATCAAAACGGAACAGAAAGACAGAATCCAGAAAACAAAGATTCGTCACTCGTTAATCTCGGGTTCTCACGGCAAAAACAGCAACGGCAAACTACAGCCAAGAACTCGGTGCACGAGCGGGTGCTTATTAGACTCGATGTACAGGACCAATCGTTAACTCTTTCTTTCCTGCTTGAATAATCGATCGACCGTGGCCACGTCGTTCGCGATCGTCGTCGGCGACGAATTCATTCTTCTCGGAAAACAGAGCCGATCTTCAGTAGGCCTCGTTCGATCCTCGCGGTCCCCGTTCCTCGGCCTCGAGGTTCTTTCGCGCGAGAACCGAGCGGAACGGGGAGGAAAACTCGTCGAGCGAAGAAACGAGGAGAAAACCGAACGGAGAGAAAAAAAAACGGAACGAGAACAAAACGAGACGCGGAATCGTTAAGTGAAATACTTTACATCCGAAGTGGAACGACGCACGGTTCGCCGGTCGCGAACGAAACGCGGATCGCTCTGTGTTCCCGTTCGAGAACGGTTTCAACGAGATCTCCCGAGCGCTCGCGCGGACTCGCCGGGGAAACCGCCGTCGGTTTTTGTTCCCGACACCGTCGGAATCGACTTGCAACGCGAACGGCCGGCGAACGCGAGCGGGCACCGGCGTACAACGGGCGTCGGGGCCGTCGGCGACGGAATCTTCGGCGTATCGGAAGCGGGTCGATTGCCAATTCAAATTTGACACTGGAACGTCGATTTCACGCGTATCGAATTCTATGAACGTCTATTGGTGAATGTGTTTCGACTGGTGCAATTATAGGAGCGTCTATTTTTCGAGCTCTAATCAGGATTTAAATGAACGAACATCAATTGTTTTGAATCTTACGTGAACTTCGTAATTAATAGTTTCAGGAGATACTCGAAAAGGAATTATGTTTTTTCTATCTAATAATAACCGGGCATGTACACTGATTTTGTAATTTTGTCGATGCGAATAATACGCGATTGGCAATTTTAGAACAAAGACATCTCGCCGTGCCTGTCTTTCCAGCGCGACAGGTTAACGAGCGTATTCCCGGTCGCAGAAAGTTCAAAGAAAATTCATTCTCAAGACACCGTACTCAAAAAGATTACTTAACGACACCAGCTTCCGTCCGCGAAAATTGCTCGCGCGCGTCCCCGTCGCCGCGTGTACGCAGGCTCGACCGTACTATATACACAACTATATACAGAGAAAGAGAGTGTCTGTGTGTGCACGAGGATAATAGCACAAGCTCATTGCATATAGATGCACGCAGCTACGTACGGGTGCACGCGTGAAAGCCGTTGCGTGTACGTACATACATATATATGTATATGGCTAGATATATATACACATGTATATACATATGACACATCCATTCGGTTGCATAAAAAATATGCGTGTACATACGTGCGCAGGCCGCCGGTTGCATATACAGGGGCTGTGTGTGCGTGTCCGTGTGCGTATATATACATATATGTATGTATATATATATATACTTCAGTTATGCAAACAAAATACGGGGATGCAAGAGAAAAAAAGAGGTCGCATGCACATGCAGGCTGAGCGCGAGAAACGTACGCACCGTCGGTCACTGCGGCGCTTTAAACCGCTCGCCGTTGGTTAATTCATCGCTACTTGCCTACTTTCTCGTTCGCATTTTACTTTTTTTTTTACTTTTTACTTCTTTTATTTTTTGTTTCTCTTTCGTTCGTTCTATTTTCTTGGCTGGGCGGTTCATTGCACGGTCTCTTTTTCTTTTAGTCTATCGTTTATTCATCGTTGTTGCCGTCGTTCGCTTGTTTTACCTTGGTTTCTTTCGTTTCGACCCGTATCCACGCTACGAAGCTACCGCCAACGCCGTGGGATACGATTACAAGCGGCCTAGGGAGTTTTCAGAGAGCGCGGCGGGTTGCCTGGACTGCCGGAGGAGCGCAGTGGTTCTCAATTCCTACCCGGGATCTGTTAATACGCACCGTCCTCGCGTCGCGCCTTTGTTTCGCGATCGTTGGCGTTCGTTGGTTGTCTTCTCGAATTCGTTGTTTGATATGCGATTGTCAAGTAAATGAGTCGTTTTTGAATTCGATGAACAGCGGTATTATGAATATCCTTTGAATTCTTCCGATGGAATATTTTATTTTGCGAACCACAAGAATCTTTCGAATTTTCGTTTATTGACTATCAAAAATTACAACTATCGCGAGTATACGACGGCAGCTTCCCGAGCGAATTCCCGTTTTAAGTCGCGTTGCCGGTTGACGCGCGCTTTATTAATGCATAAAATCCCGGCTACCGGTATATATTACATAAACAGGATAAAACGAAGAGATGACCTGTTGGAACGAGGTCCATAGCCAGACCGTTCTACGATATTGCTCGCGCGACCTAAAAACCAGCGAGTTTTCGACCGTCGGACCTTCCCGTCTAGCGTTTTAGTTACGCCGTGCATAATAATTATAATCGCGCGTGGCGCGGCGCGAGCGACGGCCCGTTATTAAACCTAATCCGCAATTGTAATTGTATAATATAACATCGGGACGAAAGCGTCCGCGGGGAGCCCGAAATTAACCCATGAATACTTTAAAAAATGTCTGCGTAATATTTCACGATCCCGCGTGATTAATTCGCCCCGGCTTTCCCGTGAATATTCCAAAAACCCCTTCGAAGTCTAGAAAATCCTTTAATTGCTCAATATAACCTTTCGCCGTTGATTTCGAACTTTCCTAAATCTTCTTTGAATTAATAACTTCTTAAATCATTGCCCACTCGAAAAATATCATCCAACGCGCGACTATACAATCACAATTGCCCAGTTAACGGAACGAGAACCACCGGCATCGAATTAGTAGCGATAATCGGTAATTATCCAATGATTTAACTAACAAAGCGACAGTTACGCGGGTTGGAGGGCGTCTGAAAAATTCCAAACGCACGGTTGCGGGTTAAGAAGCGAGCTATCGGCTGCTACTTGGCTAAATGCGAGTGGCTGCGCGCGAGGGGGTCGAAGTTCCCGATTCCACGGGGATCGGAGTGGCTCGAGAGCCCATCGAATATCGTTATCGCAGCGGCACGTTTACCGGGGAATCGATCCTCCGCTGCGGACCTCTTTTTTCTTTCTCGTTCTGAATTCGAGACTGGTCGCGGGTATTTCGTCTGCGCCTCTGTTCCATGTTTCGATTTCTTCCCTACTCTCGAGAAACTTTGAATGCGGGACACGACACGACACGACACGACACGACACGACACGACACGAAACGACACGGCACGACACGTATTAGTCACGAGTGTCTACAAGATCTCCACACGAGTCGACGTACGTGAAAATATCGTCCCGGTGTTTTTGCCTTTCCGCTCCCCTAACCATTCGCGAGTCGAGTCTCCGGACGCCGGGGGTTGCGGGGTTGCTACAGCAAATCGGGCAATTCGTCACTGCTCGGGAGTACCAGGGTTGGGCGTTATTTTCGAACGTTTGTCCAAGGTAATCGGAATACTTCGTACGAATAATAATTGTTCGTTATTCGCAGTGTTTATTCAAACAATCCGCTGTTTATTTATTCGGCCGGCAATGCAAATGATTTTGGCCCGATATTCCGTGATTCGACGCGTGTTCCGTTGATTCAACGCGGAACGCTGGTTAACAATACGCTGATTACCAATTCATTAAAGACTAATAATAGGCTTTCGGATTTAATGTTCGGCACAACGGAGAATTACGCGGTAACAGGCGAAATATAGAAAATAGAAACACTTCGAATAACGAGCCAGTATTCGGAGTTCTTCGATGACGATTCGAACACTATCTACCCGTCGCTCTAATTTTTTCACTCGAATTAAGCGTCGCCCAACGCTGGCGAGAACTAGCTTCAATCTGCGTCACGAAAACGCGAAGGCTTCGAAACAACGCAGCCTCTAACGGATCAATCGAAGCAACGCGTTCGAATTTCTCGCGAAGGACCATTTCTGCGAGACCCTAACGATCTTTTAACATCGCGAAATTCGCGTGGAACGTCGACGCGAATCGGAGAACCCCGTTCCGTCCCGGCAGGGGCTTGAAAATCGAATTCGTGTCCTCGTAGCGTTGCTCTATCGCGGATAGCTCCGAGCTCTCCGAGTGTTCAGGACAGCGTAACGTCAGCGTCGCAACAGTCGACTAAATGAATTCCGATTCCCGGCTGAGCGAATATGTACACGCTATTCATCGATCATCCCTTGGATCCTGCGGTTCTGACGAGAAGGACGATGCGGCACATACAACGACGTACGTCACTACTAATTTGTACAACAGATCAAGCCTTTTGCTCTCTAGACATTTACGTGTCAGCGCATGATCACGCACGAGTGGCCTGTCGCAATGACGTTCGGGTAATCTGCGTCCCTTCGATCGGAGATCCGCGTCGATCGACCGAATCCCCGATCGACGAGACATTCGAAACCCCTGTAGTATTATAAAATCGCACGAGAATCTTAGCGAGATCAAGGAACGAAAAGTTCTGAATCATCTAGCCCGTCTTTAAAGCGAACATTCGATCAGAGCGACAATTCTTTTAAACGATCGTTAATCGCTGCTTCTCCTCGAAGGAATAGACCGTTTCCAAGGAAATACGAGGATCTTCCTATAATCCTTCTTTCCTGAATTGCAGCCGTCATTGCGACAGTCTTCTACCGAGCTAACATTTATCATAAGGTGTTCGAGCTCGGCACCGAGTCCCAGAAACGGAGATCCATCGTGCAATAGCGTCGTCCGACGATTCTCGCGGATTAAACTCGAGGGGGAACGGTATTTTATCGAACGGAACCGGATCGAACGAAACGATCCCTCGAATTGATGCGATCCCAGCTGAAAAACGCTTTTCACGCGCGGCCACTAGCGATCCGTTACTTCTTTGATAGCGTCTCTAACTGGCGCAGCTCGATTTCTCAGCAAACGCGACGCGTCCGCGCGATCCTCGCGAGAATGAAAGGAGAAGATCGTCGAATCGTGAAGTTTTTAAGAGATCGACGACTGCTGGTCACCGGGAGACGAGCTTCCGCTGGTTCGGCGCGTCGATTTTTCGGGACAGATGATTCTCGCGGTGCTGTTCCGATGGATCTCCGTGACTTTCCACGACCATAGGCGCCGCCACTGCGAACAGACTCCACCGGAGAGTTTCGAAAGCCTTCGTTGCGACGCCTATGTGGTTTCGTCGATGCCATTTCACGCGGTTTTCGTTTGTCAACGGTAGGAAGCCTTCGCGTACCCAATGGCGCTCTTTGGTCGGTGTCTTTTGGACGTCGGAGATCGGGTTAAAGACGTTAAAAAAAAATTGTAGAATGTACTTAAGACTCTAGTATTTAACATTGCTTCGTTCACGCTGTTCTTCACTGTTTCTCGAGAGGAAACTTTAAGACGACCTCTTAATAATATACAAAACTTATAACCAAATGTTAATAAGTTCCACCCTATCTTCGACGTGTCTTGTCCAAAAAAAAATCTGTTTCGAGCCTCGGCGAAGGCCATTGGGTGCAAAACGTGCTCCTATTTCGTTTTGCGTGGTCGACTCGCGGGGGATTGAGGCTGGGAGGCCTAACTGCTTCATCGAACAGCTATCCAATTACGCGTTGTTCAAACTATCTTCAATTCGAACGAAAACCCGGCAGAAAATTGTCATTATCCTCCGTCGAGACGTCGATATCTTCCTCGAGATTCTACAAACGAGCTCCAATCATCGGGAGTTGATCTTCGAAGATAGACCGAGACTATCTTGGTACCAATTATTGAATCCTCGAGATGAGAAGCTCGATAATCAACGACTAGAATAAGAGGATCTTTACTGAAATTGAATGGGGACCGCCGTCGAGATTAGGCCTCCCATGGATCCCCCGCGATCGAGATCTATGCGCACTTTCAACAGAGAAGGAACTCACCGTACGCGATGGTAGGTGGGGTCGTTTTCGGACCAGACCGTCGAGTTACCATCGGGTTACCATGGCGGCCATGGTGACCATGGTCGTTTTACCGATGGTGAGCGTGGACGTAAGTAAAAGGACAGAAGTAACCAACAATGTGAGAGCAGCGTCAATGCGGCCGAAGAGAAGAGATAAAGAGAGGCGGAGATGTATAATATACATATAGATCGAGAATTTGTCCCGTGATCGATTTTCATTCGACAGATCGTTCGAACAGTCCGATGAAGGAGGTTTCGATCGTTACACAGA